CGCGCAAATTTCTGATTAAAATGAAACATCTCCCAGCTCTACATGATCTTTCTTTGCAAAGTTATAGAATTTATAAGAAGAGCCCTAAATTGTTCATTGTCAGCTCAAAGCTACAGAAATAAGAAGAAAAAAATTAATTTAGGGCTCTTGTTATAAATTCTATAACTTTGCAAAGAAAGGTCGTGTAGAGCTGGGAGATGTTTCATTTTAATCAGAAATTTGCGCGCTACAATCCTGCATTGTTAAGAAAGGCTGGGTTATTTTTTGGGGTTTCTGAAGATCTGGTTTTCTAGAAGACTGAATCTTCGAAGAGCTATGGAGAAGTCCCATGGTCATATTCGGAATCAGCATGGTCGATAACCTATAACCCACTAGATGTCGATCAAAAAGCGATTTATTACCTCTCACAATTCGTCATTTCTAGACGAATTGTGAACGCGTTGTAAAATGTTTTGTCGATGCAGAAACGATGTTTTAGAAAACATTGACTCGTAAAAGACATATTTTTTGACCTTTCGATGCGTTTCAGTGGTGTTATTTTAATCCATAAACGCGCTTTTAATCTCAGAAGATAATGTTAAAAAGCATTAGTGAATTCCAAAGCGCGTTATGAGAATCTAGAGTGTAATTTTAACGCATTATAACACGTCTCAAATTTTAAGTTGTCTTTTGCAGCGTAGCCTCATTGCTACACAAGCAATAATCTAGAAATTCCTCGGCGATTTTCCAGATAACTGGAAATTAATTCTATTTTTCGAATTTCCAAAAGTCCATATATAAAATCGCCGAGGAATTTCCAGATTGAAAATCGCTCAGCATTTTTTATAATTCTAGAAAATCGAACTTGGGAATTATTTATAGAAATTCGGCCTCGAATTTTCAGAATGCTGGAAAATCGAGGTGGAATTTCTAAGTTTCTTTTAAATTCGATTTTCTAGAATCTAGAGAATCCTCAAGAAATTTATATATGGACTTTTTAAAAATCGCCTAGCATTTTCTATAAATAATTCCCAACAATACAGTGTAACAATTTATCTTTATCTTTCCAATCATTTTGTCGGGCACATAAGACAGTCGCACTTTCATACCATTCATTGATTCTTCAATTTTCACCATTATTTTATATTTTCTACCGTTGTGATCAAATTCGACCCCTTTACACGGGAGTATCTATTCTTGGGGCTGGAATGGTTCGTTAACAAAACTTATCAACTCGAGACTTTCTTTTTCAACCATAAATGCCAGTGGCCGTGTACAGAATGCACTATTTGGAGTTTCATTATTCCACAAAATCTCGTTCGTAGTACTACCGGATACCGAGAGTGAAACTAACATTTTCGAAAAAATGTTGGAATCAGTCATCGGATTATCATTAGCTCTGTAGACAGACTGTACATCGCTGCCGTCTTGTCCCGTTTTTTGTCTGAACAGTATTTTAGTAGGGACTGCGACATTTTCTTTGATCATTTGGTCTATAAGCCGTTTAACTGTTAGCAAGCTTCGTAATAGCAAAAATCAAAAAGTAGGAGTAGGAGTTGGATTTTGAAGTCCGTTATGGTAGGATTTATATTAAAAAGTAGGTAAAGTACCTTTTAGCTTTTAAGAGAAGCTCCGCCACAGCACCGACTATGTTGTCCGGGAGAAAATTTTATTTTATTTTTATTTACGTTTTATTCGAAGAAAAAACGTGAAGTTTCACAAACTTCGTATTTTCCGATTTTCTGAGAAACTATCAAACTCCTATGATTCGTTCATGGCTCATTTGAAAGAGAAATGTTTACTCTATAAGATTATATATCTAGACATAGTAATATGTTTAACTATCTAGGACTAAATAATAAAAAACTAAGACATTCCATATTTGTAAATTTGCATTTTTTTCAATACTTTTTAAATATGAGCCATATGGCGGTCCCAAAATAAATCTTACTTCATTTTGTAGAGGAGGCAATTCTGTATCGATTTTTATGTAATAGAACATTTTAAAACACTAGAATGATGTACTATAAATCAAATATTGGAGACAGGCATAGGTTTCATCGTTTTCTTACTTTTCTAAATTTTGATACAAATCTCAAAGATCTGAACATATCAACTATTTTTGACTCATTACAGATATAGAGCAAACATTTTTCTACAAAATGAGCTGTCGGCGAGCTCGGTGCGATGTTTTTTTATGATTTTACATGCACTTGACGACAAACACTGTATTTGAGACCCGTCTTCTACTGGTTTTCTCCTCGGTTTTGATCCGTTGACCAAATACAATAATTTACATATAGTTGAATAGAGCATTGAAAGTTACATCTGGTGGTATGCTTTTTTATCTTCATCAGCTCATATTAGTGGAGAAAAAAATATTTAATTTTGTAAAAATGGCTGAAAAATGGGTATTATGTATGGGAAAAGACATTTTTCTCCTACTTTTCACAAGTGAACCTTTTTTCGTGTTGCGTTTAAAAACTGCACATAACTCAATACTAGTTACTCATGTCAAAACTTGCTATAAATTCTTTTCTCCTAACCGCCTAAAATAGATCTTTTTAAAAACAAAGTTAGACAAGCCCGTGAAAGGTACCCTGAGTAGATTTATATATGATTTTTAGACGGCTAGGAGAAAAGAATTTATAGCAAGTTTTGACTAGAGTAGCTACCATTGAGTCATGTGCAGTTTTTAAACGCAAAACTAAAAAGGTTCATTAGTGAAAAGTAGGAGAAAAATGTATTTTCTGCCTTCTTTGCAATCTGTGAATTTACTAAAAACATAGAAAATTAAAAAAGTAGGAAAAGTAGAAGAAAATCCAGAAAGGAGGACATAGTAGGACGGGTTACAAAGCCTGCTGTTAGTGTAACAGTCTCGTTGACACTTTCAACAACTATTCCTCGACTGTGCTGACATTCTTTTATTTTTGGTACTAGCTTTCAGAAATGCTCTCGAATAATGTTTCTGTTTGAAATAAGAACAAAATCGGTTGCAAAGCTCTTCAGAAAATCAACATCATTTCGACTCATGTTAATATGGCTTTTCAAAGCTATTGTGCGGTCAAGGTCTAGATTTACTCGACTAATTTCTTGCGTGTCACCTGTTTTGTACAATTCGTCGCCTAAGTTTGCTAGATACTTATTGATGTTATAGTTTCATTGATATTGTCGTCACGGTTTGACAGGTGAACTCTCCATTGAAGAAATCTAATGCAGGTTATCGAACAGTTAAGAACAATCGTTGAAAGTACAACTGAAGAATGCTTTCATCGATTGTTATTTGCAAACCACATAAAGGGAGAGATATGTAATTCATTAATAAGATTCTCTCGCTTCGTCAGCTGACTTGTTTTTATGGGAAAGGAAAATTTTTATTAAATAATCACATAGATATTCGTGATTACCATTAAATCCATTCATCTTTGAGGACAATATTTTGCAATTTGTACCATAGTATAGCAAGAACAAGCGTTAATGAACTACGCAAAGTATCAAGATACTCTCGAATATTTTCTTCATCAGTGCTATGCTTGCGGTACAAATTCCACCATTTAATCAAAGTTACTGATATAACAGCATTGAAGCTACTGTATTGCTCTCTGCCACTGCTGGGTTCGAGAGACGTATTTTTCTTAGGTATCAAAAAATCGTCCGAGTAACTTTCATACGTAATATTTTCAAGATCTCTTCGTTCGCATTTTTTTGCTCGAGAAATATCGTCGTTCTTTGTCAACTATATAATTGTTATGCAATAAAGCTTATAATGACTATCGTTTTTCCGCCTTAACTAACACTAACGTTAACAGGCGGAGACGGAAGCAACTTTTTGACGGCTTTGGTGTTTCATGTGCGTTTATCTAAAATGCCATGCACTGTAAACTTGAATGATATTACCGATAACACAATATCTAATGGCATTTTGAAAATGACAAGAAACAAGTTGATCCCGCCGTTCTGGTGACGAAATTTCTTCCTAAAACATCGAACGAGATCGGTATCAGTTACCTGCTTTTGAAAACGCCTTGCTCATTTGTTTAGATTCATTATTACACCTCTCTTTTTCGAAATATGCACGAATTTTGCTCAATCTTGGCTGAAACTTAGATTGAACAGAACTGCTTTTTATACTTATTGTATTCTTCGCGATATCTGCTTAATAACTCCAAAACGAAGTATGTTGCGGCAAAAATATATATTTTACCGTTCGTGTTCTAGCTGCTGCCATGTTTTTTTCAAAAATTTATATATAATGCTTTTAATAAAACAGTCTGTTTTCGGTACTTTTTATACTTATTTTATTTTAATTTGTTTTTACATTATGGTGGTTTTAGAAGTAGAACATGCGTTTCAAGTGTCAACCATGGTTGACACTTGGCTGACATTCTAGTTTATAGAAGACCTCCACAAGATAACTCAGCCGCAGAGGCCGCCCTTGAAAATGTCATTTATGATGTGGGTATACATACAAGAAGGTTTGCTTGTATTTATAGTTGGTTACATTTTCTCTGAGTTTGCACTTTAATTTTGCGAACTTGTACCATCTGCATTTATCATTGTATATTTGTGATGCATCAGGGTCGAGTTTTTGTTAATTCACTCATGAGGCAGAAAAAATGGTGGAAAAAAATAATAATGATGTTCACACGTCGGCTATTGGAAAGAAAGAGAAGAGAAAAACACCATAATAAAAGAGAAAAGTTGCAAAATACGCTCTTTTAGACTTTTGTATTTTTATCCATTATTTCTTATCATCCTTGCTTTGTTCAGTCACAGTTAATTTTGTATTCTCCGAATAGATCCTTATTATGCAGAAGTAACATCACAATTTGTGAATATTAATTGTTCTTTGTTCAGCTGTTATTATCATGCAAAGTGTTTTACCAGCGAATGAACATGTACAAAATATGGCATCATCAATGAATAATACAAATTCATCATATAATTCTCATCCGTCTGGTGGTGCTTCTAATATTGGTAATTCATATTCGTCAACGACAATGAGGGAAGATAGTCATCCATCACCAACAGGTTCATCATCATCGTCATCTAATATTTTTGGTATGTTGTTGACTTCTCGTTCTTGCACAATTGATTTGCTGCTTTCTCTGCCTTAGTAGTGTAATAGCTTATTTTGTTTGCTTAGTCTTCAGCAGCTTATTCAAGCTTATGGCTTGGTCACCCAATCTCATCTAAGAAATACGTTTCAAAGGCTATGATGGGAAATGCACGTTTTATTTGTCTCTGTTCGGAATTTAATAAGCAACTAGAAGGAGACAAATTAGTTTAATAATCTAACACTATGTGACTTTCAAATTTTTTGTGACTTTAATTTCACTTTCGCAGAAGCTTACGATTTATCACCTCTGAACAAGTCAGGGGCTATCGTTGAATGATTTTATAACCAAACAAAAAAACAAATCTTTAGCTTTTCAAATATAGAATCGTTTGCGCGCGAACACGTTATTACAATAGCTCTGCTTGCTCATACAACAAACCGACGTTTTTTACCACTGTGGCGTAGCCAGCTACCTTATTTTAACTATAATTCTTCTTGTATTCACTACTTAATGTACTGGACAGATTGTTTTTTTTATGAGTATTTGTTAAATATTTTAAATATGTGAGATATTCCTCAATGTGAGAAAGCAAAAATACTCACACATTTGTTTTTTATTGTAAACACACGAGTGTATTTGTATTTTTTCGCTTTGTAAAATAGGTGGCGGTAGCACAAGTTTATCTCCTCATCAATCACCGTCAAAACCTACGTGGGCACAAATATTAAATTCAAACTCCGGATCGCCTCAATCAACAGCTTCCGTTTCAACATTATCAATACCAACATCGACAACAGCCACAACGGCAAATACTACACAACCTCAATCAAAACAGTCTTCATCTTCTACACCATTCAACTTTTCATCACAACGTTCAACAAATCGTTCAACAAATTTTTATGATCAACAACCTTCACTACTAAACAAATCCTCTTCGATACCACAAATGAATTGGTCATCAATGAATTCTGCCGATCAAAACTTTCCATGGACTATTGAAGACAATAAACAACCACCACCACAAGTCCAGCAACAAAACCTTAACAGCAACAATAATAATAGCAGTTTACCAGCAGCGACAACAGCAACCAAGAGTAATTCATCTGTTAATGATCATTTTTCACTAAATAATAATGATGATGATGATAATAATAATAACAATAATACTAATAGTAACTTACTAATTGATGATTCAACTGGTAAACATTATTTTTGCACATTTATTTTTTTTCACATACGTGTGTTGTGTTTTTGCATATGACGTTTTGGTTGCTTTCATCTTTCGCTTGAGTTTTTTTTATATAGTTTGCGGACATTACGAGATTATTTAGGTCCTCGAAGCTTGATAAACAAATGTGTTATGCTTGTTAGAAAGAACAAGAACCTCTTTCTGCATACTTGCCATGATGTAAGAGAAAAGGAGAACAGTGTGACACAGTTAAGATTGTACTCAGATTATCTATAAAAAAACTGATTTTTTTTTCTTGTTGGATTTTAGGTTTTGATCATAACGACTCCGGCAGTCCGACACCAGAATGGAGTAAAACATTTGGAGTTTTACAGTCCGATAGATCATCATCAAATGGATGGAATACATTTCAATCTTCAAATGCTACATCTAATAATAATAATAATAATAATAATAATAATAATAATACGTCTAGATTAACAAATAATAATCAATGGCCGTCCGAATACAAAATTTTATCAAATAATCCAAATATAACAAATATAAATAACAATAGTTCTTGGCCAGATAATAATAATACTATGTCCTCATCATCGTCGACATGGAACGATAATAATAGTGATTCGTCAACATTAAGTGCAATATCAAAAAATAAATCAACATCGGGTAGTGCCAATAAATCTACGTCAAATACAAATATATCATCCGCAACAGATATGGGCCCTGAACCAATGATTGTCTATGTTCCGCAACCAAAATTGTGTGTATTCAGATAAGAAAAAAAACTTTGAATCTTCTTTCTATCTTCTTTGGTTCGTTTAGAGTTGAACAACTTGGTTGGGATGAACCTGATATTAAAGTTACTAAACGTAATTTTGATGATGGTACATCAATTTGGGGTGACCCAAGTGATTTACGCAATATGCCCGTTAAAAAATGGACAAATGGAACAAAAGCAGCATTAACAAATTCAACAAATATTATATTACAGCAACAACAGTTAAAACAACAACAACAATTAACAGTGGTTCCAACCCAAATGATTATTGGTGATGAAAATTGGCCTAAACAACAATCACCAACAACTCAAACACCATCTGCATCATCATCACAATGGAATGATACTCCAGCTGCTGCACCAACACCGCCTTCTTCAATGACAAATAACACTAATGATCATTTACGTTTAAATGTCAATAATAATACGGCGACGACAAATTCCAATTTATGGCACAATCAACCACAACAGTCTGTTAGTAATGACTGGATGGCAGAGGGACAAGTAAGAAACGTTTTGAAAACTTGACTTTTTGTCAAAATTCGAAACGTTATGTGATTAAATGTTCGTGACATAATCTGTGTGTTGTTGCTGTTTTTTTTGGAGGTTGATACAAGTGATTGGGGCTTGCAAGGATCTCAACAGAAAGCACCATTTGATCCAACAGATGGTAAGCAGCTGACATTTAAGAGCTTATAGTTTAAATTTGATCACAATATTTATCAGAAAAACTAACAAATTTTGCTATCGTAGTTATTAAACAGTCTTCTATTAAGTTATTTCTCAAGAAGTAAATATTATTCGTTTTCTGTTTCAGGTCAAGTTGATACAAGTAATTGGGGTTTACAACAACAATCTGGTCAAGGACCACCATCAATATCTTTAAATCGAAAATATATGGATTATGAAACGACTGATAATCAAGAACATCTACATAATAATATTATGGGTGGGCGACCGTTAAAAAGTATGAATGTTATGGATCCATACGATAACAACATTGATGCATTTCGACAATCAAATGATATCAAAGGTGCTCCGGCTGTTGTTGGTCTCGGTGGTCTCATACCACCAAATCCACATCATCTCATTCAACACCAGCATCATCCATTTGGCAATTTGGCAAGACCAAATCAGCAACCGTATCAAAATGCTAATGTACTACGGTAGGTTATTGAATATTGATTTTTTAATCTGTGTGAACCAGTAATCTATTTTCGAATATTCTAGTCCGATAAATTCAAATACAATGATGCCACCACCGACAGGTATGGCGAATCAAGGATCTCAATTGCCATCAGGTGCAATTATTGGTGCGGGCGGACTGTTATCACCAAAATTAACTCCTACATCACCAATACCAAATCAAGCACATTATATTGCTAACAATACATTACAAGGCAAACAACAAATATTGCAGCAACAATCTCAACAAACCCCTCAACAACCATTATCTCAAACGCCAACACCCCAACAACAGGTTGTCGTCAACAATGGCGCTGTACATGCGCAAATAATGCAGCAATTTCGCTTAGCTGTACAAGCTGGTTTGATTAGTCAAGATTTGTTGAATACAAAATTACCTCCCTACATGTTGCAAGTAAGATTACAATCAATTTGGCTAAATTAAGTGTTTCATTTGTCCTTTTCTGTCTTATAGTTATTACAAAAACTGTTTGAGTTACAACAAAAATTTCAAACATTATCGATACAGTTATCCGATTTTATCAAACAAAAACAACGTTTCCCGTTGACATTTTATCAAAATGAATATGAACGGTTAAATAAGTCAATACAGCAGAAAAAACAAGAAATGTTAATTGTACAAAAACAAATACAAGAAGCGCATACAAAATTGAAACAACAACAAAATGCGCCAACACCAACGCAAATGATGAATGGACCATCCTCCGTGACAACAAATAATAGTGATCTCAGTGATCGTATGCAACATGTTTTGCAAATTAATCAGAATCAACCATCGTCTCAAGCAGGCACACCACTACCAACTCAACAAAGCGGTCAAAATTCTGCTGTCGATCAATCTCGATTACATCAATGGATGAAATTACCTCATCAACAACAAGCACCTGGTACTAATTTACCAACTCGTTTGCCACTCATGTTTTCTAATTCGGCAACAAATTCACAACAAAACATAACAAAAACACCAGTTAATGATTCGAATCCATCATGGCCATCGGGATCTTCCACGACAACAACGATAACAAACAGTGAATCACCTTCTTCTCATCAAAATGCTCAAAATCCAAACGCAGATAATTGGAATGACGGAAACTCGAGCTCGTCATCACCGTCTTCAGCCAATAATACAAATAATGAGTCGGCATTTCCCGATTCGTTAATTGGATCGGATCTTGTCGACGATATTGATGGCCCACCACCGTTTGTGCCTGGGCAACTGTGGTACGTTAGCATTGACTTTTTAGTACCAAAAATATGTGAATTTGAGTCTCTTTTAGGAACTGGAAACAAGTACCAAATGCTGAAGATGATCCACATGTAACACCTGGTTCTATAGCTAAACCAACAATGTCGATGTCAAATCTGCCACCAAATTCATCAACAGGTTAAGAAACTGTTTGTCAAAGACACTTGGTTATCGAAGGACTTTTCATTAACTTTTTTCCTCATATTTAGGTAATGAATCACAACCAAGTGCATTTACAAATCCTAATTCGCAGTTTAACAATCAACAAATGCAACATGCTTATGCCCAGTTACAACAGCAACGTTCAAATAACAATAACAATAATAATAATCGAGCTATGTGGACACAAAATATGCATGAACAAGCTCAAATGGCTGCTCTCGCCTCGGCTGCCACAAATAATAACAACAATTCTCAACAATTTCATCCTTCTCAACAACAACAACAAATGAATGAACTTGCCTGGGGAAAAAATAACTCCTATCGTAATAATCCATCAATAATGAAATCAAATCAACAGTTACCATTATCACTTGGTATCAATCCTCATAATCAACAACAACAGCAACAACATCATCATCCACCCTTACCTCATCAAACCTCATTTTTTCGGCCATATATGCAATGAATTATCAGACAAGAGTCAATAAAATGGGGTTTGCATTCTGTAAAGTTTCCTTTCAAATGAGTTCGCATGAGTTTGGGTCCACATAAAAAAAATTTTTTTTTCTGTTTTTTGTTCGTTTGTTCGCCTATTTTATAATGTACATTAATGTCTACGTGGTGCAGGGAACAGGAACATAAAGAGATAGAATGCGATCTGATTTTCTATCTTTAGGTAGAACTATTGTTGTTTATCCACAATCCCTCCCCCATAATCCCTCCCGGTTCGATGGCGATCATCCGTCTTCTTTTATCTCTCTCTCTCTCTCCGTCGTGCGCGAGCGCGCGCACGTATGTGTGTATTTGGATTTTTTCTTTTCATTTTACGTCCACAGCCCAGTTCTTTTTTTCGTTTCGTTTTAGTACTATTCATTTTTATATGTATCACAATTTGTTGTTTTTTTGTCAAGAGCTTTGTTGTGTATTTTCCTCTCTCTCTTTCTTCTTTATGTGTCATAGCTTCATTTTTTTGACAAAGCGCTGCTGCTGCTGCTGCTGCTTGTTAATATTTGTATAGATGATACATAGAAACCAAACAAAGTCGCGCCTTTCATGTGTCTATTTCGTGCAATAGTGTCTCACGAAAGTTTACTATGTATATGGTTAGTACGAAATTTGTTGTGTATGTGCGTGTGCATATTCTCATCTTCTTAATATCTTACTAATCAATTATTATTATTTTCGTTTTTTAGCAATTCTGTATGTTTTTTGATCAAAACAAACAAAAGTAAATCAATCGATTTTGTTTCTTCCTCTGCACACCTTGTATTTGTGTCTCGTATGTATAGAGATATTTTATAAGTTGTTGTGAATAAAAAAAAAGAAACAAAATTTTTCCTCTCTCTCTCTCTCTTTCTCTTAATTTGATTAAAAAATATATATTTCTCATCACATTTACACATCCACTTATATATTATTATTATTATCATCATCATCACTCGTGTTTCATGGTGGTTCTGCTTTTTTCCTCTTTCATGTACAAACAATAATCTATATAGAAAGATAAGAACGTTTGTATTTTTTTCTTTTATTTGCTGCTGATGCTGTTTTTTTATTTCGGTTCACGTTCTTTTGTTTGTATGATTGTTTTTTTTTCTCTAATTTTTCTTTCTCAAAACAAAACTAATAAATAAATTTTGACGAAAAAAAATTGTCACATTGAAAAGTCAGGACCTAAACAGTAATAACTTATTAATTAAATTGTCTTTATTGCCAATTGCCAACTGATAGCCTTTACGTTGAATTTTCATGTTGCAAAGCTTGACAAACATCGTGAAATATAGCTCAGTAAAATATTTGGTGCTATTATTCCGCTTACACACACATTTATTAGCATTCGAAACTTTTCTATCCTCATTTAAATAGTGATTTTCATCGTTCATGATCATTTGTATTTCACATCGCAAAAAGAAACATTTTCACGGCACGTTTTACCACAAATACGTATAACACAAATTTAAGATGAACTATTGTCCGATAATGATTCTACTCCATTCGAATTAAAACATTAAATAAAAGAACCATTATTCAGTTATCGATTGACAAAAAGAGTGGATGGTAATAATAATTATAGTAAATATCTGACTGATAAGCTTGAACAACTTGGTTGGGCATGTTTAAGCATTCATAACATAGTATACATGAATATGAAGATCATAGTTCTAATCTATTCGTGATAGAAAAAGAATAATGTCGAATGATGTTTAACAACACCTTTTAACTGCTTTATCTTTGATGATAACATAAACAGTAAACTGACGACATGATTTTTTACAGGGAAAGTCACCACTACTGGATAAAAAATTTTAATAATTCGG